TGATGCTTGTCTGTGCGAATATAAAATATAATATATATATATATATATATATATATATATATTATACATATAATATTGTTTACATTATATACTTATCTCTATGTGCTAGCTAGCTGGATAAGTAGTTAGCTAGCTATAAAGAGGCTGCAGAATATTGTAACAATAAAATATATATATATATATTACATATACATACATATATATTTTATATGTATATAGATACATATATATATGCATATATAATAATATATATGTATATATATACATATATATTATATGTATATTATATGAAGGACGCTGAAAAGTGTAGGAAGTCAATATATTATATTTATTTATAAAATTATTTATTATAATTTCTTCGCTTAGAGACGGCTGAGAGTTTGGCTTTTAAATGAAGTAAAAGCTGCGTAGACACCCGAAGAGAACTGGTGAGGCAGCCTGCAGCAACAACAACAGCAGCAGCAACAGCAGCAGCAGCAGCAGCAGCAACAGCATCAGCAGCAACAGCGACAGGAACGCCCTTCTAGCTAACGCGATGCAATATGTTTGCGTCGAGGGTGCTAAGCAGCAGCAGCAGAAAGAGCAGCAGCAGCAACGCAAGAAGCAGCAACTGCAGCAGCTGCAGCAGCAGCAGCAGCAAGGGGTAAGCCCGACCTATCCGACAGCAGCGCGAGCGCTGGCTCCCTAAGAAATTTATAATTGGAGAGAAGACGGTGCAGCTGCTGCTGCAGCACCTCAAATCCCGCTGTACACAGAAACTGCAGCAGCAGCAGCAGCAACAACAACAACAACAGCAGCAACAGCAGCAGCAGCAACAGCAGCAACAACGGGAGAGGCAAATTTGGGTCGGTGGAAGAGCTTGCCGCAGCACGAGCTTCCGCATCTGCAGCAGCAGCAGCAGCAACAGCAGCAGCAGCAGCAGCAGCAACAGCAGCAGCAGCAACAACCGCAGCAGCGGCAGCAGTAACTAACCGGCATTGGATCTGCAGCAAATTTGAGGGTGTTGATTGCGCACTCCTCTTCTTTCTTAGCAATGATAAATAGACGCTTATCACTTTCGTCTTTTGCTGCTGCTGCTGCTGCTGCTGCTGCTGCTTCTACCTGCTGCAGGATAGCACTCCATAACAGGCGCTGAAGCTCCTCCCCCTGCTGCTGCTGCTGCCGCTGCTGCTGCTGCGGCAGCAGAGGGGATGGTGCTGCGAGCAGCAGCGACCTGCTGCCAAACTGCTGCAGCAGCAAGCGAGAAGCACCTACATTCGCTCCAGCAGCAGCAGCAGCTGCTGCTGCTGCTACCGCCGCGGGCAGCAGCTGCGCCGCCAGATAAATGCTGCAGCAACGCATGCAGCAGCAGCAGCAGCAGCAGCAGCAGCAGCAGCACGAGGAAATACTTCGCTTCAATCTCGGCAGCTGGTTCATGCAGACATCCCTAGAGACAATAGCAGCAGCAGCAACAACACCAATAGCCGCAGCGGCAGCAGCAGCAATAGCAGGAGCAGCAGCAGTATATCTCACCCTTGCGTCCCCCCGACAAGACAGCACTGCAGTAGCAACGAAGCAGCAGCGTTGCAGAGCCCTTGCTGCAGCTGCTGCCACTTCTGTTGCTGCCGCTGCTGCTGTTGCTGCTGCTGCTGCTGCTGCTCTTTGGCTATGGTTTTGTCTACCTTTGTGTTGTTAGCCTGCATCCCTACAGTGCCTTCTGCCTTCCCTGCTGCTGCTGCTGCTGCTGCTGCTGCTGCTTCCGCTGCTGCTGGTGCTGCTGCTGATTTGCTGCTGCTGCTTTGGTGTGGGGTCCACTGCTTGAGTCGGCTGCAGCGGTTGGGCTGGGTGAAGGTAACTCGCAGCTTGCAGCAAAATGGTCTGCTGCTGCTGCTGCTGCTGCTGCTGCTGCTGCTGCTGCTGCTGCTGCTGCTGCTTTTAGAAGCGACCGCCAAGGAGATGCCAGTGGCTGCTGCTGCAGAGACGCAGGAGCTGCAGCAGCAGCAGCAGCAGCAGTGTGCAGCAGCAACGTAAGCATGGCTTGCGTTACGAATTGCTGCCAGCTGCAGGGCTTTAGCTAGCAGCAGCAGCAGTTGCTGCTGTGCTGCTACTTCTCGCAGCAGCTGCAGCAGCGGCTGCGGCGGGGTGGCGAGTGCATCTAAGAGCAAAGTTAATCGATGTATGGTACTCTGTGCTGCTGCTGTTGCTGCTGCTGTTGCTGCTGCTGTCGCTGCTGCTCCTGCTATTGCTTCTGGTGCTGCTGCTGCTGCTGCTGCGGGTCCTAGAAGCTCCCATCCAATCATAGAGAGCTGCTGCAGCAGCTCAGGCTGATGCGCTGCAGATATCTGCCTGCTGCTGCTGCTGTTGCTGCTGCTGCTGCTGCTGCTGCTGCAGAAGGCCAAAACTGCGTGCTGCAAGCAGCTGCTGCTGCCTGCAGCAGCAGCAAAACTCCTTAAGAGGTCCTTTAAGAAGAACTGGTATGGAACAGCATCTGCTGCTCTTAGCAGCAGCAAAGCCAGCATTGCTGCTGCTTCTGATGCTGCTTCTGCAGGCACCGTCAGGTGTATGTACACCGCAGATCCAACCATATATTTCCACTTCTGCTGCTGCTGCTGCTGCTGTTGCTGCTGCTGCTGCTGTTGCTGCTGCTGCTGTGGGGCCAGTGGCAAGGAAGAGCGAATAGAGAGCACACAAGCTCGAAGAGATGCAGCAGCAAACAAAGCAGACAGCCGCAGCAGCAACTTCGCTTCCTTTGCAGCAGCAAGACCGGTTGCTGCCGCAGGCGCTGCAGCAGCTGCTGCAGCAGGAGCATTAGCATCTGCTGCAGCAGCAAACATAAAAGGCGTCTCCATTTGCAACCATACCGCATGCAGGCAGCAGCACCAGCAGTAGATCCTACGGCACAAGCTGCTGTCTCTGTCTCTTTGCTGCTGCTGCTGCTCTATGGCTGCTGCTGCAGTGTCTGCTGCACCAGCACTTAGTTCTGCTTCGGTGTCTGCTGTAGCAGCACTTAGTTCTGCTGCAGCAGCAAGCCCCACATGTCGTGCTGCACATCCCAATAGAGGAGGAAGCGGAGAATGGCGGATCAGGCAGCAAGCGCGAGCAGCAGCAGCAGCAGCAGCAGCAGCAGCAGCAGCAGCAGCATCATCTTGCCCAGACAGACTCGGGTGCTGCTGCTTTTGTTGTAGCTCCCCAAGCTGTCCCTGGCCCTGCTGCTGCTGGTGCTGCTGCATTTGCTGCTGCTCCTGTTGCATTTGCTGCTGCTGCTGTTGCTGCTGCTGTAGTACCAGCAGCGCTGGCAGCAGCATGAATCTTTCAAACCCATCGGCGACTTCCTTAGTCAATTGTTGCTGCTGCTGCTGTTGCTGCTGCTGCTGCTGATCATTATGCAGCGGGATTGCTGCAGCAAGAGAGAGAGAAATAGCATACACCCACAGCCCTCTGGCGGCGCCCCACACACAGCTGCTGCTGCTGCTGCTACTGCTGCTGCTGCTGCTATAAGAACGGTTTGCTGCTGGGGATTGCTTGAGATTTTCTATGGCTTTGAATAAAAGAGAGAGGAATGAAGGTTGCTGCAGAGGCAGCAGCAAGCGGTTTGCTGTTTTGTTGCTAGGTACAGCAGCAAACGAGACTGAAGCAGCAGCAGCACTGCAGCAGAAATATAATGCTGCTGCTCGCAACATAGGGCTGCAACAGGGGCAGCTAAATGCAGCTTGCTGCTGTTGCTGCAGCAGCTCTTCTGGCCTCCGCTGCTGCAGCTGTTGCTGCTGCATTTCTCTATGTTGGAGCTCCTGCTGCTTCTGCTGCTGCTGCTGCGGTGGTTGTTGCTGCTGTTCTTGTTGCTGCTGCTGCTGCTGAGGTGTACGCGCAGCAACCGCATATGAGCAGCACATCCCTACAATACTCTCCAGCAGCCGTCCTGCTTGCTGCTGCACGCCTTGCTGCCACTGCTGCAGCAGCAAATGTTGCTTCTGCTGCAGCAAAGTGCTGCTGAGCCCGATTCGGCTGCCCCAGGGTGGTATTAGAAAGAGCATATCATCCCTTAAGGCCTCATCTGCTGCAGCTTCTGCTGCTGCTGCACTTGCTGCTGCTGCACTTGCTGCTGCTGCTTCTGCTGCTTTCTGCTTCGAACTCTTTCCTGTTGTTGTTGTTGTTGCTGCTGCTGCTGCTGCCTCTACGACAGTGCAGAACCGACGGGACAGCGAAGCCAATTCACTCAGCAGCGGAACACCCCACAATATTCCAGCTATATTGTCCTGCTGCTGCTGCTGCTGCTGCTGCTGCTGCTGCTGCAGTTGCTGCTGCTGCTGCCGCAGTTGCTGCTGCTGCTCCGGCTGCTGCTGCAGCTGCTGCTGCTGCAGCTGCTGCTGCTGCCGTTGCGCCTTGGCTAGAGACGTTGCTGCTGATAGCTGCAGCAGCAGCAGCAGCAGCTTCTGACTCATCAGAAACGGTGAAGTGCAGGGGCAGCTGCTGCATGTCTTTGCTGCGGGATGCCGTTTAGCTGCAACTTTCCTGCGTTGCAGCAGCAACAGCAACAACTGCCGCTGCTGCTGCTGCTGCTGCGTTTGTTCATCAGCAGCAGCAGCAGCAGTCCCCAACAGCAACAGCAGCAAACGCAACCCAGTTCGACGGGCGTGGACCCCACAGCGCAGCAGCTGCATTTCCGCATCTGCCTGCTGCTGCTGCAGTTGCTGCTGCAGTTGCTGCTGCAGCTGCTGCAGTTGCTGCTGCTGTTGTTGCTGTTGATGTTCGTGCTGCTGGTGATTGGGGCGGGTGAAGTTGCGTTGCTGCTGCTCTAGCAAGAACTGCAGCAAAGCTGCTGCTGCAGCAGCAGCAGCAGGTAAAAGAGCAGCAGCACGAGCAGAAGCCTCAATAAGAAGCAGCAGCGCGGGCATCAACGGCAGCAACCCCTTAGCAGCAGTTGTGTTGCTGCTGTCTCCTATACTTCTCAGCGTATGCTGCCTGTTGCTGCAGCAGCAAAACCTGTATGCTGCTGCAGCCCTCTGCTGCTCACCAGCATCAGC